CATAGGAAAGAAAAAAAAAACCCTCAATGATACAAGAGTAAATGAATCAAAACCATATGGATCAAATGTTCCCTAAAATACACTGTTTGAAAAATTAAGGCGAAAAAGTACTTGGCAAAAATGTGTTTTAGGTTTTACCAAACCCAAAACATTTGAAGAATCATTTGCAATTGTTGATGAACCCTAAACGCTGCCAAGTTGGCCCATTTTCATAGATGACAGAGCATCGAGAATTTCCCCAGACCTCCTGTAACCCAGTGATAGGGCATTTCACTCAAGAGCTTGTTGGAAGCTGTCGACAAATCCTGCAAAGTTTATAGAAATAGGTGGAGGTGGGGCATGAAATTATGCAAGTTTGTTAATCTAATTGCCCATGTTGGGGGTGTTGGCTATGTGTGTTTTGGGGGTGGGGAAGCACTCAGGGTAGTATTTCATGCAAAGGAAAGTTAATTAAAAGAACATGGGCCACATGTTAATGAGCCTCATGTCTTGAGCGTGTGGTAACATTTCCTTGCAATCCAACTTCCAAGTCAGTGTCCTCTGTCTCGACCACATGTGCATAAGATACTGAAGACTGGAAGTGGAAGGATATCAATGATCTCTGTGTGTATGAGGTCTATATTGTCTGAAGGTTTCTGCTAGCAGGGAAACTCTTCACTAGGGTGGATTGGGTGCTCTTCTTGGGGCATACTGGAGCCTCATTCTGAGCTCTATCTCCTGGAAAGGTTAAATATGTCAGACAGCTATTCCGAAGGTAGGAAATATTGAGGTTTTAACCTGCCCTGCCCCTGTCCATCTCCGAGTATCTTGCCTCCAGTGTCCTGACAGATCCAACCTTTGCTAGCAAAGGGGAGGCCAGCCCTCCATTTGTGAGACCATTTGACCAGGCTCACAGGACAAGCAGGTCAAGGGCAGCAGCAGAAACTTGTAACAAAAATGTGGGACTCATGTCCCAAGAAGAATAACAAGGGGAGGGCGGATAGAGAGAGAGAGAGAGGGTATCATTTGGCAAATGATATGTCTGTCCATCAGTTCCTTATCAAAAAACTAGAAATTGACCAATCACAGTGGCTCACACCTATATTTCCAGCAATGGAAAACTGAGAGAGAAAGATTGTTACAAATCCCAGGCCCATCTGGTATAGAATGAGACCTTGTGTCAAGAGGGGGGGGAAAGCAATGAAATGAAAAACAAATAAGAGACTAGAAAATCTCATTATACATTGGTTCTCATATATTTTATTCCCTGCCAGTTTGAATAGTCAACAATGTGCCGACATCAGTGATACTGGAGAAAATGTCAAATCAAACACACAAATATTTTAAATATGCCAAACAGACTCTACGGAAGAGAGCTACAATGAATTGGCTACCATCATTCAAAAGAACATACCATCAGATGGAAAATCTATACACTATAATCTATCTTAATTTTCAGAAAAACTAAAGATGTAAAAAGAACCCAGAGTCAATGTACAAAAATGTCATGAGTGGTTGTCCTGAAAAAAACTTCCCTACCGTCAGCATGGAATGTTTGTAGTACTGTCAGGAATTAAAAGATGAATGAAAATCAGTCAGGCTTATCAAAAAAAGTCTAAATTAACCTAAACGTAAAACATAAATTCAGGGGCTGGAGAGAAGGCTCAGCAGTAATGAGCACTGACTGCTCTTGCAGAGGACCTGGGTTCCTCTTCCAGCATCCACATGGTGACTCACCAATGTCTGTTACTCCAGTTCCAGGGGATCCAACACCCTTTTCTGACCTCTGCAGACACCAGGAATGCACGCGGTGCACATACAGCCATGCAGGCAAAACACTCATGTACATAAAATAAAATGAGTAAATCTAAAACCAAAAACTAAATGCACTGAAAAACAAAAGCTTAGAAAACTAGTCTCTATTGATATTTTCAAATGTGACTAAAATCTTGTCTCCACTTTGTTTTGAAGTGTGCTTCCTTTCCACTCAATTATAGACCAGATCCTAAGCCCAGCAGCCAGGAATCCCCGATTCAAAGGCGAACCCCTTACACTAATGGTGGGTTCCAACCTCTGGTCCTGCCACTGAACTGCCTGCTCAGAGGTGACAAGACAGAGGGGAGGAGGTGGGAGGGCAAGTGGCAAATCCGAGAAGTGACAGTCACACCAGTTCTGTTCTTTGGATCCCATCATCCAGCCCATGTGTCAATAATGGGGTCTCCGTAAAGCAGAAACTACGGGACCATCACTGTCTCCTTATTCCGCTCAGGTACAGCTGAACCAAGTTGTTAGAACTGGGTTTGCCATAACTTCCTTTACACTAAGTTCTATTAAAGCCAGACAACCAAACCCTCAAGGGGCGTTGCTGAGAAGCAATCCATCCAAAGGGCTGTGGAAATCTGAGTTCTAGCCCCAGTTTTCTCCTCCATTATTTTATCGATATGCTTGGACCATGCAGATCCACACACTCCCTGTCTCATCCTCAACTTTGTCTGAGAGGCAGTACTCTCTCTTTTCTGACTCTTTGGGGATGCTGTAGGAACTAGGACAGCATAAAACCCTACTGGTGGTCTACAGCAGAAACACAAAGGACACTCCTTATTCACAAACATAAGCACGCAACTGATCTAGTACATCAGATGAAACAAAGAAATACAGGTGGGAAGTTGCCTGTGAGAGTTTTCCATTGCTAGATGTGAAATGACCCCACCCTGGCACCAACTCTGAAATCACTGACAATTGAAAACTGACAGTTTTCTTGAAGGTGACCTTTAATGGCTGGAAGATCAATTTCTAATGCATCCACTAAGGTACTACTGTGATAACATTATTCCCAGACCACTGCATGCAAGAAACTAACCATTTCACATACAGAATTTGAATTCATGTTATTTTCATTACAACTCAAGAGAGTAAGGTTGTAAGGCCTTCTGATGGAATCCTGCCTCTCACAGAAGCAGCTCCCGTGGAAACTTTCAACCAAATCCATCCATTAAAAAAAACTGTTCTCTGTGGGACCAGACAGATGGCTCAGAGGTTAAGAGCACTGGCTTCCAGAGGACCCAGGTTCAATTCCCAGCACCCACATGCAGCTCACGCCTGCCTGCAACTCCTGTTCCAGGGGATCTGACACCCTACGCAGACATGCATGCAGGCAAAACATCAGTGCACATAAAAAATAAATAAAATGAGTGAAAACTAAGAAGCTGTTTTCTGGCCTCCAGGTGACTGATGATAAAACTTGCAGAACCTTTCCATGCTGCTTCTAAAGTCTGGAAGAAGTTTCTACACAAGGAATCTGAGTGCTATAAAGCTGGTTGTTCCAGCAGGAGCCTGTCACGTCATGTAAAATCGCATCACCAAATGCCAGGACTTGGAAATCAAAGGGGCTAAAAGTCCTGTAGGAAGTCCTCCATTGTTTTCATGTTGTTATTTTCCTGCTGAGGTTTAAAACCACCTCTCACTTCTTCTTCTTCTTTTATTTTTTTAAGGCCAGGATGTGCTATAGGAATCTATAAAACTTAATTACATTTACTGTTACAAAAAAGGATTTATGAACTCTTGCCTTGAGGCAGAAATGTTTATTTCATTGCCTTTACCATCCCAGTCTTTTCAACTCCTGTGGCTTTGAACTTCTCAGCTGCTAGGAGTTATCACCATTACACAGAGCCCGAGCGCTCCACTCCGAAGACGCACACCACAAGTTGAAGAAGCCAGGAAAGGCAAAGATATATGAGTCGTTATTTTGGCCACCCTTTGTGCCATTAAAATCTCATTTTCTGCCTATTAGAATACCCTCTCGGTGCTTAGGCAGCGGTGATAGCCCATGATTAGTGTGTAATTGGGTATAATTGTCTTTTCATTTTCTATTTGTGTCATTCTGAGCCTCTCTCTGTTTTCCTACCCACCAAGAAGAAAAGAGAGGTAGAGGAAAGAGAAAGCTGTTAAAATTCTCACTCTGAGCCCCAAAGAGATCCTCGATTGCAATTATAGATTGCCATCCCTTTGTGACATTTCTCCAAATTTAGTGGGTGGCTCTCCTCGCCACCTGGGCCAACTGCTCTCTCTCTCTCTCTCTCTCTCTCTCTCTCTCTCTCTCTCTAATAAAATCAAGCTATCTGTATTTAAACAACTGCTAATAACGTCAAGTTCAGACAGATGCCACATGTAGGAAATTTAACCATCCTTCTGACATGCAATTATCAGGGCAATTTATTAGTGCAATCCCCCAAGAAAAGCTCATAGTCCAATGCAAATTACAAAAACAATTACAACGTCCAAATATTTATATAGTCCCAAAGACTAGCAATTCTCCTCATTTGTGTTCCTATACCTCATTCATTCCAGATTCTGCAGTCCTCAGCTGGGTCTCTCTCTCTCTCTCTCTCTCTCTCTCTCTCTCTCTCTCTCTCTCTCTCTATCTCTCTCTCTCTCCCTTGCTCCCCCTTCCTTCTCCTTCTCCTTTCCCCTCCTCCTCCTCCTCCCTCTTCTACTTTCCTGCTTCCCTCCTTCCCCTCCTTCCCCTCCCCCTCCCCCTCTTCACTTCCCCTTCTCTCTCTCCACAGCTTTTCTGCTTCCCCTTCAGTGGTTATGGCAGAGCATTTGGTGTTTTCTGATGAGGATTTTTCCTCAAAATTCTGTCAGCCAAGCAAAGGCCATTTGAAACAGATGAACAAACAAAAACCGAAAGGAAAGAAACCCTGGCAAGTTTGTAAGGCTTTCAACCAAAGCTCAGAGCTAAGGACAGGGAAGACATATGACAAGTACCTTGACAGCTGACTATAAACACAGAGTGCCCACGATTGCATTCGAAGTCACTTGAATTGTAAGTCTAAGCTACCACTTTTGATGCCTCCAGTAGAAAGGGAAGAAAGAAAGGAAACTCGAAAACTGAAATCATGTGGCTTGTATAAAGAATACATTATGGTTTACATTTGGCAATTCATTATACCGCTGCCTCGGGGAATTGACGATTTGGTTCTGGTAACGGCGAATCATCTGTCTAGAAACACAGGACTGACCTGAGGTGAAAGGCCATTGCCAATGGCGGGGTTCATGGGGTTGGAGGGCCCCGACGGAGGCACAAAGCTGTCTGTATAGCTTGAAAATCCATGCCTGGTGCTGGGGAGGCAGTAGGCAGAGCTGCTGTCCGGGTTCGAAGGAATAGTGCTTTGGTGTACGGTGCTCGGTGGAAGCGGCTGAGGTCTGTGAACGGTGCTGCTGGGGTCGGACACGGCTGAAAGGATAAAGAGGATCAACCATGATGCTCTCTGGCAGACCAGCAGAATGAGTTCAATGCAGAAGTTCCCATTAGCAGTGACCCATTTGGTCAGATGCTATGAGAACTCCAAGTGCACTTCTTACTGATCAGTTGTAAGAATGAGTCACACAACAAATACAGTTACATCTACCTTGGCATGTGTCTAAGCACATAACTGTATAAACTCCCAGTTCACACTCACCTATAATATGAGCACAGATACCACACTGGCAACAGTAACAAGCCAATTTGGGTAGTGAACACAATGGAATCACTACAGGTACCAAATCTCTCATCAAATATACTCCTTTAAAAAATAGTTTATTTATTTGTATTTTATGTGCATTGTTTTGTGACTGTGTCAGATCTTGGAGTAACAGACAGCTGTAAGCTGCCATGTGGGTGCTGGGAATTGAACCCAGGTCCTCTGGAAGAGCAGCCAATGCTCTTAACCACTGAGCCATCTCTCTAGCCCATCAAATGTACTTTTTTTTGTTTGTTTTTTGTTTTTTGTTTTTTGAGACAGGGTTTCTCTGTGCAGCTTTGCACCTTTCCTGGAACTCACTTGGTAGCCCAGGTTGGCCTCAAACTCACAGATATCCGCCTGGCTCTGCCTCCCGAGTGCTGGGATTAAAGGCGTGCGCCACCACCGCCTGGCCATCAAATGTACTTTTAAGCAATAATGCATGAACAGAACATCAGAGTTCAGAGTATTGTAAATACTGTCTTCCACAGGCCCGAAATAACATTCTTACAATTTAACATTATCCCATTTCCCTCTTGCCATAACAAATTACGACTTTATCAAAGCTCACATTCCCTGAATTACTATTGCAACAAGTTATGATCCTAGAACCTCAGTTGATTTCAACCAGGAGTATAAATACAGTGCTCAGGTTTTAACAAAAGTAGGGGGAAAAAATCCCATGATGTTTCTTTGGGAAAGTTGCATTGTTTTTAAACAATGAAATAGTGTCACAACACAGCACATTTTATCTAAAGAGCTTCAGATATAGCACAAGCTACTTCTGAGGCATGCACAGGGAAAGCTGACGTCATATGACTGGCACACCAACAGCATCAATGTCAGCACGACAGGCAGAATTCAAGGTGTAAAACAGCCAATGGGAAGCAATCGGGAGCTGCATTCTTATCGCCCTGTCTTTCTTCCTAGATACCTTGCGGAATAGACGTGGGCTGGTAAGAGGTCTCCGACAGCTGGTAAGTCGGCAGGGTCGGCATGGCGGTGGGAGGGAATCCCCCTGGAATGAGGTGGTTGAAAGCCATCAGTTGATTGGCCCCAGCTTGCTTCCTCCATCTTGCACGGCGGTTGCTGAACCAGACCTATGGATTTAATTTAAAATTTGAGGATTTCACTGATGAAATAATAGTACATTCTTAATGAATTTTTCATGCTAAAACAGATTAAAGGACCCTTCCTGACAGGGCAAATGCAGGCAAGAGCCCCCTGTCTTCTGTCATATGTTGGGGAGAAAGGAGAGTTAAATGCCAGGGGTCAGGAAAGGGGCTGCAGGGACCCTATGTGGACTTGCATGAGTAAAGCTGGTAATGACCCTGGGCAGGGACCGCTAAGCAGGATTCAGAACAGTGAGCGTTCTTTACCGATGCCATCAATGCCATTGCACCCTCATATCACAGCCTTCCAGGACGTCCATGAGGCGCTTGGACACCTACACACACAAACATTCACACATAGGGTGCATGTCCTAAATTTGACCTTGCCAATTGCATACTCGAAGACTTAGGCTTTATATTCATACCAGTCTATTTCTGTATGGCTATAATCAGTGTAAGTATAGACCCTAGAGCAGTGGTTCTTTACCTTCTTAATACTGCAACCCTTTAATACAGTTCCTCATGTTGTGGTGACTCCCCAACCATAAAATTATTTCATTGCGACTCCATAACTGTAATTTTACTATGGTTGTGAATCGTAGTGTAAATATCTGTGCTTTCTGATGGCAAACCCTACGAAAGGATCATTTGAACCCCCTATAGTGGTCGCAACCCACATGTTGAGAACCACTGTTCTAGATAGCCACATGAGCTAAACATAAATTCATCCAAGTAGAGCTATTTTACTATCTTTTTCAAAGTGTGAAACATCACTCTGATTTCAATTAGAATAGCTGCTGATGAAGATCCCCAAAGAAAAAAAAGGAAAGCATTTTTCAATGAAAATCATTTCTTTTGGTACCTGTGTTATGCACTGTAATACTCTGTGTTGAACACTATACTAATCACCTATATTCAGAAAAATCTGTTGGAAAATAATTCTTCTTCCAGTAATTCAAAATCTCCATCTTCTTGTGTGTCAATGGAGAAGAGAAAAAGATACCAACCAGAAATATAACTGAAGGTCTAACATGTTGAATGGTGTTATACAGGTTTTTAATACACTTCAAGATCTTGCCCAACTGTGATTTAAATCTGCATCATTAAGATGTAAAACTTGGAGTCCATTTTCCAGGACGGACACATAGGAGTCTTCTCTTGTGGTGTGGTAAATTCTATCAATCATCTTTATAGAAAGCTCACTGAAACTTAACACGGAGAAACACATAGCATTTAAGGTTGACGGTTAGGAGGAGATGAGATGGGAGCTTGGCCTTCAGGCAACCTCTTTTACGGAGCCCAAAAGAATTCCTCACGGGACACAGAAGCTCCATGTTAGGAAATCAAGGAATCAGAAAAACTTTAGGTCGGGACAAAGTTTCTGCTCATTTTAAAAGTTGGATGTAATTGTCACAAGGATTATATCTCTAAATAGAGGTCACAGTAGAGAGCAGAAAGATGTGATCAGCTTGGCTAAGAAAAAAGAATCTGACCGGGAAATTCCTTGCCTAGAATGTACATGGGAGATAATTTGCAAAAGTCCATTCCCTCCACTATATAAGTTCCAGGGGTTGAACTCAGGTCGTCATCAGGCTTGGTGGCACCTTTACACACTGAGCCATCTCACTAGTCCCAAATATTACCTTTTAATACTCCTTATGTTTCCAAGAGGAAAAGAAGGCAATCCAGTATTTTCCCTGTGTTGATAAATAATTGAGTTTGAGCTTCACTTGACTTAATAAATCACCGCCTGGTGTAGCGGAACCATGAACATTCTATTTCAAGCCTGCATTTGGTTATGTTTCTCCTTGGGAGTCTAAACTATTATGACTCCCAAAGGCATCATGGGAAGGAAACCAAGGAAAAGCTTGGCATCATCCACGTTCTTGGAAGAGTCTAGGGGTAAGAATTCATGCCTGAAGGTACTTACCCTACCACCCACCCACTGCAGTCAAACTTTACACAACAAAGGGACAAGTTCAAAAGACCCTCTGGTTCAGAAAAGGTTGATATAAAATCAACTACATGCCACAGAATTCCAGATTTCTGCGCTACCCTGGGAAAAGTGAACTAGATGTCTTAAGGTGACTTTATTCACGTATTCACTATCCTGAATTCCAGTGACCCCTCCACGAAGCACTCAGAAACCTGTACTTAGATGTTGCTGAAGCATGTTGCCCAGCTCTCTACCCACTGCCTTCTATAACCTGTAGATAAACAAGCCAGCTTGGATTGACCAGAGTTGGCTATGCCTGAGCTTTTATTTTTCCAAACTGATACGACTAAGTATTTGAGAAGTATCATAAACCCATGAGGGGGTTATTTGAAAATGTTGACTGCATGGTAACCTTCTACAGCTACAATTAAAAAAAAAAAAAAGCTGACGGGAAGGAGCTAGGTGTATACCTACCTCAGTGGTAAAGAATTTCCCTAGCGTGTAAGAAGTCTCAGGTTCAAACTCAAGCATTACGATAAAAAAAAAAATCAGTAAAAATAGTTGAGATGCAAACTTTTACTAAAAAAAAACAAACTTTTACCAGGAAGTTCAGGGTTCCCAAAGGAAATCAGCCTAATGTTTCAGCTGAAGCTCCCAATATCCAGAGCGCTGTTCTAGAGAAAAGCAGGCCCAGTGAGGAACAAGCTGCTCGTCTCCGTCCATTTCATCAGAGGGTTTTAACGATCTAGCGAAGGCCAACCTCGGTGCTTCTAGCCCCACCCATGCCTGCCAGACACATTACTAATGCTGAAAATGGGATTTAGCCTTTGCCTCGCATTTTGAAACTCGGGAAGCATCTTCAATTTCCAGTTGGAAAAAGAAAAGCGGCCCTTGAAATGACCTTTATTTTAAATACCTTTGTCGACCAAACATGGGATACTGGAATGCTGTCACCACCCTATATTTAACAGAAGAAAAAACCAATCCCTCTGCTCAGATACCTCTTACAATTCAGCATTGAATTATCATTCTTAAAAAAAAATGACCTCCAAGTGGATTTCCACAATATTATAATATCCGCCGGTTACGTGGGGTAAAATTCAAACCATTCAAAAGTTCTCTATAACATCGTGATAACCATGATGAGAAAAGGATAATGGATTTCAAAATAAGAATACAGTTTTCACAAAATTTCCCTCTATGAGTGAAGTTGTTCAAACTCAACCCTGTATAACCTGGGGTGGGGAGAATTAGTACTTCCACGGTGAAAATGCTTTCTATTCAGCTAGGAACCACGTTGAGCAGTCGGAAGTCAAACCCTAGCTCCCTACCTGCCACTGCTTTGACCTTGACTGCTTTTCTTAGTGTCTGTGGAGTTCTGTTCTCTGGTTTGCTAAATGAGAACTACGCAAAACTACTGCACGACGCTGCTGGGATCATTTAAGAAAACAATGTGGCAATGCACTTAAAAGGATGTTTAGGAGATATTAAGTGTTCAATAAATACGAAGGACTAAATGAAAAGCTCGCGTGGACATGACTGAGAAAACCTCATTAAAGCCTGGCTCGGTGTCCTTCACTCTCCAATCAACAGCCAGAGCCTTTTGTGGCAGTGAGTAAATAGAGAAGGACCCGCGGAACACCTCAAATAATTGAGAGCCAGCTTGACTTGAATGGTGGCTTAGGTCAAATTTGCTTCCAAGTTTCATGGATTAGTGCTAATTGTCCCGTGGTGTGAGCCTAATTTTACCCATCAATAAATTACTTGTTCACATTTTTGGTTGGCCCTCACAGGCAGCCTAACCTGCATTATTCCAGATGGGTTATTTCAAATACAATTTGGAAAAAAAAAAAAAATGGGACGGAAAACATAACACTCGATCCTCTGAAAGAGAATTCCACAGGATTGTAAAATGCCCCACTGAACATTCGCTTTGGTGATGTGTGCTGCTAGCAGGCCAGGGAGAGTACAGGCCAAGTAGGTAACGTCAGGACACACTGCTGCTTCCTCTGGACCCGCTCATTCACTCCATCTCCTTCCTCTTCCAACGCCCTGCTTTCCCCAGCCCTCCCTCCCAGCATTGCTGCTGCCCAGCGTTAGCCCTTGTGTGGAGGGAGAGCAGGCGGAGGAGGGCTGCCAGGTTCTCATGCGTGTGTCACAGGTCTGTGGACACAGGAAAGCCACATCAAGAGCAGGGACCTGTGGAGTGGCAGGGGACCATAATTTCATTTCATTCCGGAGTCAGGGTTTTCTGTACCTAGCCTACTTTCTAAACTGTAGAGGGATGTTAGGTGACTTTAGGACGCCTTTGGGCTTTCCCGAGAATCCCAGACTTCTAGTGCAGAAGGTCCTGAGAGATGGTGCTACCTAATAGTTTTTGTTTCCCTTTTCTTTTTATTTTATTTTATTTTATTTTATTTATTTTATTTATGTGCGGGGGTGTTTTGCCTGCCTGTGTATTTGTGTATTACATGTATGCCTGGTGCCCAAGGAAGCCAGAAGAGGGCATTGAATCACCTGGGACTGGAATTACAGATGGTTATGAGCTGCCATGTAGGTGTTGAGAATTGAACCAGGGTCCTCTGCAAGGGTACCAAGTACTCATAACCGCTGAACCATCTCTCCAGCCCCTCCTAGTAGTTTTCAGTTTAGGGATAAGGGAGAGATGATATTTGAGAATCTGAAATCCAGAGACACTGTCCCTGGCTAAAACTTGTGTCGACAGACAGACAGACAGACACACACACACACACACACACACACACACACACACATGCAAGTACATCTCACGTTGCCCAGATCTTCTGAAATCTATCCATGATTACCTTGGTGGTCCTTGAATCCAGGCTGCTGAGATCACCTGGTATAATTGACCCCATACTTTAAAAAAAAAAAAATGAAACTAAAGTCCAAGCTCAACAGAACACTCTTGGCAAACTGGGACCAAATGCTACACCTCCTATCTCCTGGTCAAATGCTCTTTCCACAGGTCGCTGTCCTCTGTGTCTTCTCTCCTCTTGACAGTAAGAAACTCACCTACTTTATTCTGAGATGAAACACTTACAAAAATGTTTGCACACTGTAAATATTTGCAAGTAATTCTGTCTCAATAAAACCTTCATGCTCTCATTATTTGTTTTTGAACAACCACCCAAAGATTTAGCAACTAGTCTGTCTTTGTCTTTTTACCTGATTTCTCTTTCGTTCTTCCTCTTCTTCTGACAGTATTTCTAGATGGAGCCTTTGCTGCACCACAGAGAACCTTAGCTTGCTGTGTGCTCAGATTTGGCAGCGAGAAACACAAGTGTCCAAATGAATCTCTATGCAACCCTGACAGAGGCCTTTGTTTTTATAGCTTTAATTTCATCTCTATCCAGAAGAGACTGGAAATATTTTTCCTCAAAGGGGTGAAACATGGAATGTAGACGTGGTTTGGGCTTTGAGGGTTTGAGGTTTGGTTTTTCCCAGGTGCCCCCAAATTAAAGTAACTCACACTTTCTGGCTATCATTCCAAGTGAGTTGACTTAGCTACCGCTTTCCCATCTCTTCCCGAGGACGCCAGCATTTTCTGCTGGCATTTTAATCAGTGATTAACTACTCCCTTTTTTTTCCTGCTGGGTTAAGGAAAAGATCCATATGCTGGTTGTTCTAGGGAATTTGTTAGGCTGTAGATCATAGCCTGGTGCAAGACATGATGTGTCTCAAGGGAACTAAAGAAGCCATAAGGAATGTAAAGAGTCACCGGGTTAAAGCCACATTAAGACAGCTGTTACATTAATGAGGGCCCTGCTTTGGAGGGGTGCTGACCATATAGAAAATATGAACCACTCTTTATTGGTTTGATCCCATGTCCTCTGAAAGTTAATAGGCTGTTATTATTGGGCTCTAGCCTTCACTGGGCCAGATGAGAATGTTGGGTACTGTACAAGTTACGTGGGTTTGAAGCTGCCTCTGTCCCCCACTTTGTTTTTGACAAAGGCAAGAATGAGAGAGAGCAAGGACGACCATGCTTCAGATTTTCATTCTCCTTTGTCTCATCATTCTAAAGGTTAGTTCTTATTCAAACTGCATTCAGAGCTGATTATGGATCGGTCTTTGGAACCCATCAGTACACAGGCTTGGCCAGCCATGAAGTACAAGAGTCTTGCAATAGGGTGGACATTCACTGGGAAATCACTGGACCTCACTTTGCATTTAAACTGGGCAATCACGGGACTCTAACAGAAGCAAAATAGATGTGATGTGGCCTTTTATGTATGTTATAGCGGTGGTTATAGTATTACAGCATAAGAGAACTACTGATGCCCTCGACCCATTTCACTAGGATACAGAGTAAAAGAATCCTGGTCCATGGCTAACGAAGATGGTTCCTGTCCTGTGCAGAGAGAAGCACTCTGTCCCAGTGAAATGGGTAGAAGAATTCAACTGTCCCTTTGGTTTCCCAGTGTGTGTGTGTGTGTGTCTGTCTGTCTGTGTAGTTTACATGGAGAAGAAGCCCATGTACCTGTGTTCATGTACATGTGAAAGTCCAAGGTTGAGGTTAGGAATCATCTTTGATCTTCTCTACCTTATCCATCAATGAAACCCAAAGCTGGTCAATAGGGCTAGTCTAGTGTTAGCCAGCTTTCTCTGGTGATGCCTTGTCTCCTCCCGCTGAGGCTAGAATTACAGACATACAGTAATGCCCAACAGCATCTACATGAGTTCCAGGGATCCTGGCTCTGGACCTCATGCTTGCTCAGTAAGTGCCTTAACCATTGAGCAATCTCCCCAATTTAGTACTTCCAATGTTACATTGTCAGTCTCAAGAAGCCTGGCATGTCTGTGGCTCTTCTCTTGACCCTTCCAACCCACCTCCAGCTTACACCACAGCTGCCTGCCTTCTACCTCAGAATACTTTCACCGTCATCCCGTCCTTGCCAACACCATCATCTGCTGCTTCCTGCCACAATCCCCAGTGCTCTTTACAAATGTGAACCAGGTAGCAGGAGAGCTAAGCCTTCACGGGATGTCCTGGGCCTGGCTCTGCACCCCTCCTTCCCCCGCCCTTCCTCGGTTCATGCTCCAACCAGAAGGGACCAGTCCTGGATCTCTCCGGAGTGCCTGGATAGAAAACTGAGTGATCATCTCACATGCAGCCCAGGCGCTTCAAACTTTGTCCCTTTGCTGTGCTCTGGGATGAGTATGTTCCCCTCCCCCATCTCTGGTCGGTAAATACTTGGCCTACATTTTTCTTCTTTCTTCCGAGATCTCATCTTTTCTTTTCTCCACCTGTGCAATGCATTTCTATCGGCACCTGACACATCTCCTTTGTTTATTTGTTTGTGGTTATTTGTACGGTGACTTCATTATCCTTATTAGACTGAAGCAGGTCCTAGAGAGAAGCACTAGTCCATCTCTTCACCCCTTGACTGCTCTAGTATGACAAACCATATGGAAGGCTGAACAAAGTAATTCCTCTCTCTAGACTCTGCCTCTGGAAGAAGCTGTTTCTTCAATAGACAAGGTAATATAGTAGACAGGTGAAAGTGTTGATAAGGGACCATGTCAACAACTGAGTAGCTCACTGCCAAAGTACCAGCCTGACTTTGACCATGAAATGTTAGCTGTGTCATGTGGCATTTCCAGATAGAGAAACTCAGCTTCTGGGATGATAAGGAGTTCTGGAAATCCCTTAGTCTTGTGTAATGTACCCAAAAATTGAAGTGAAAGTTCACCACTAGTTATGAAAGCATTATTGTTCACTCAAGAGAGACATGTTAACTTAAATAGCCTTTTCTAGAAGCCCTCCTAAGTGTTCAAAAGGTAATTCAGGGCTTGAGAAATGGCTCAGCTGGTTAAAGGTCCTTGAAATCAAGCTTGATCTAAGTTCAATTCCTAGAACCCACATGGAGGAAGGATAAACTGACTCCCACAAGTTGTCCTCTGACCTACATATGTAACACACACACACACACACACACACACACACACACACACACACACACACACACAGAATCATGTAAAAAATTGAACCTGAATGTCTTAGTTTTCTTTCTGTTGCCATAATAAACATGGCCAAAAGCCACTTGGGAAGGAAAGAATGTGTTTCATCTTATGCTTTACAATCCATCATCCATCCAAGGAAGCCAAGGCATGAACCTGGAGGCAGGAGCCAAAGCAGAGACCATGGAGGAACACTGCTCACTGGCTTGATCCCTCTGGCTTATGCTCAACCTGTTTTCTTGAACTACCTAGGACCATGGGCCATCAGATGGCATGTGGGAGACTAGCTGGGAGACCGGCTCTCACATTTTACGACAAGGTACTCTTGAGGAGAGAGGGATAAGAGATATTAGATAGAAGGATAGAGGGGAGAGAAACAGATAGAAACACAGAATAGTCTCAGGAGGGCCTGGATCCTTATCCACCAGCCCCTTTTGTCTCTTCTAAAGGGCTATTTATAGGAATGCCAAGGGGTGGAGCAAAAGACCTCCTCCTAGCTCAGCCAAGTATAGACCCTTCCAATCACCTAGTAACCATGCACGTGGTCAAGCAGTCCTCTAATGCAGCTCTGCTGGGTAAAGCAAGCTCAGCTCTCACTAGGAAACCTTTGTGGGCCTCCACAATGGCACTACCCACAGTGCCTAGACTCCCTACATCAATTAGCAATCAAGAAAATGCCCCACAGACATACCCATAGGCCAATCTGATGGAGGCAATTCTTCAAGTAGACACATCCCTCTTCCAATATCTTCCAAACAATATTTGGTTGTCAAGTTGACAACCAAATCAGATATCATAATGATCTTAAAATAATATAATTGCTTCCAAACTGTACAATCTGTAAATGAAGAGACTACTGTACGTATTTTTACACATTTTCCTAATGGAAAAGGCCACAGATGAAGCATGTGGGATCCAATGGTTTCTGTCCTAGCATACAGCAATGTTAGCTTAGGTAGTTATTCAACTAGCTGAAGTTTCTATTTCCTTGTTCATCGATTGGGGATAGTAACTATATCAACCGAGGGTTTTTAGTGATGATTCATGAGTTAATCCATGTAAAATATAAGACTGAAAATAGTGCCTCCTGTAAAATAACCACTCAAAGTATGTTTGCTATTAACAGGGAGCTACCTCAACAGTCATTTAGTCTCTGGTACACGGTGAGGATGTGAGAATGATAAGTACGCAGGATCCTAGAATTCTGTGTGCCGTAAACATAACCTCATAGCAATCACCAAACCTGCAGATACGCATTCACTATAAGCACTATTGCTAATGCGGTTTTCTTGGTTTCAAGCGCTTTTCAGCTGTGTGCTGTGCTGTACATCTCTAAACCCCAGCGCTCAGGAGGCTGAGGCAGGAGTCTTGTGAGTCCCCATCAGCCTGGGCTACTTAGTGAGACTCCATCCCCAAGCAAACTACAAAAGCGTCGCACAAGAGGATGGGGAGGTTCTCCCTGGATCTGAGAAAGTGTCCGCTGTCTGGGCATCAGTACCTGCACTCGGGCCTCGGTAAGCTTTGCCCTCTGGGCCAGCTCCTCCCTGGTGTAGATGTCTGGGTAGTGGGTTCTCTCGAAAGCGCGCTCCAGTTCCTCCAGCTGCTCCGCGGTGAAGGTGGTCCTACTCCTGCGCTGCTTCCTCTTCAGCGGTAGGTCAGGTTCAGAGTCAATGTCGGAGCCTTCGTCGGATTGCGGCGCTGAGGCTAGAAGCACAGGAGGGAAAAGAAAAAACATGGTGAAATTAAATCAAAAAGCAAGTCTCCCCAGCCACAGTGCCTGAATGTCTTCTCATGGACACCAAGCCCCTCCATATAGTGCCATAGGGCTATTAAATGATACTTAGGACCTTCCCTACTCTGTCTCCCTGCAGCAACCCCATCCCACCCCCGCCCCCAGAAATATTTGCCCTGGGTATCTGTTATTCCGAGCTCTTAGAAAACAAAGATTAGTCTTACTCCCTTTCCACAGCCCTGTGCTTATTTGTCTGTTTAATAAGTAAAACATGGTCTCTCTGCATAGCCCCAGCTGGCCTTGGACTCAAAATCTTGCCTCATTCTCCCAACCGCTGGGATTTCAGATGTGTGCCACCATACCCAGCTTTTGATTTGTTTTCTGATAAATTCTTACTAATGATGGGGGAGAACAAATGAGAGGTAACAACATAACAAAACCCATTATTTTGTGTTCTAACTTTACATTTTAATTTTAAAATAATATACTAACAACCTTTATGCTGGAAAAGGTGTGACTAAAGATATTTTACACTTGATGTAGGATCTAAAAATAATGAGTAATGGTAAACTCTTGCAGGATTCCCATATACTGTAGACTCTGCTTGTACTATAAATCAGTATCTCTCACCACCAGAAACTGGGAACTGCTTTAAGGAGAATTTCTGTTTCATTAATGATAATCTCAAGAACTAATCCAAAAGGGAGACACTGTCTGGTGAACCATCCCTAGAGTGAAGTTCAAAGCCGGAGCCTCTGCTGAGGCGGAGTAGCAGTCTGGATTAGCCGCCTGCCTGCAGGAGCCCAGGGCAAAAGAAGAGAAGGGTCGGCCCCTTGTTCAAAAGTTATCACAAATTTCAAGAGAGCATTACCCAGTGCTCAGACCCTTCTCAGGGTCCTGCATGACTGCACAGGACCAAAGACCCTGAAGCTGACCCGACTGTGACTTCTCCCCAAGCAGCCTGTATCTTTTTTATATTAATGTGAGTGGGGGGCGGGTAAGCTTTATAATTTAGTATGTGGATGACTAGAAAAAGAAATGAGGACCAGAGAATGAGATAGAAATGGAATGAACAATCCACTTCTCCCATATAAGCAAGATCTGAATTCTTTAAAGAAGAAGAAGAAGAAGAAGGAGGAGGAGGAGGAGGAGGAGGAGGAGGAGGAGGAGGAGAAGGAGAAGAAGAGGAAGAAGAAGAAGCTGTAAGAAGGGCTTGAGAAGCTCGGGACACCAATGGTGCCATTTCTAGGCCGACATTTGATGGAGAAAGAGATGGTACATGGTTCTCCTTGTTTCCGCTAAAAGTATTAGTGCCTCCACAGCAGATTAGTCATTTCCATAACAGAGCATCTGTTAATCTATAGAGAGTGCTTTCTGTCATTTGAAGACATGCAAGGCCAGGGCACTAGGCAGGAGGGGTGCCCTTAACCAGACACGGGGGCAATGGAGAGAGAGTTGTCCATGGCTATCGGGGACAGAGTCTGAGACATGAGGAGGAGCCACAGCAGCTTTGCTCCTGAGCACGTTCAAACACACCCTAAAGCCTCCCCCAAAGAACTGGGGGTCCTTCCGAGAAGGGACTGAGATGTGCTGTAGCGAATGGGCACACCAGCCAGAAAACGGAAAATGCTTCATGTCACCATCAAGGGAGGGGTGTCAAGATGGCCCAGTGGCTAAAGACACTTGCCACATAAGCCTGACAACCTCAGGTTGATCCCCAAGACCCACGTAAACATGAAAGGAGAGAATTGACTCTACAAAGTTGTTCTCTGACCTCCACATACGCACCTGACGTGTAAGGCTGCAAATACACACACACACACACACACACACACACACACACACACACACACACACACCATATATACAAACAACAAAAAGAATTTTTGCAAACATCCAAGTACTTTATTTGCAACTCAGACTGGTAGGATCAGACAAGCAGTGAGAAAACACAATGTGTTCTATACTTCTAATTGTTATTGTTGTTGTTGTTGTTGTTGTTGTTGTTTTGACATAGAGTTCAGCTACTTAGCCAAGGCTAGCTTCAAACTCAATGTGCAGTCCAAGCTGGCATCAAATTCATAGTCTTCCTGCTTCAGCCTCCAGACAGTTGGGATCATAAGTGTATGCTATCATTCCAAGCTATTGATCTAAGCTCTCTTTTATTTTTTTATTATTTATATATTTGGGAGTAGAGAATGGGATGCTGAGGTAACAACACACATAAGGAAGTCAGAGGACAACTTCCAGGAGTCTGTTTTTTCTCCTTCTACCACATGTGTCCTGGAGATCACACTCAGGTTTTCAGGCCTGGGGGCCCTCTCCCTGTCCCCAGCACTTCTAATTTCTTAAGATCAAAAACGACTTCTGTCCTACAAAATTAAAACTTCACTGTATTTTACTACAAATTATAAGCTTTCCAAAAGGTGAAGTGAATCCCTAGGTGTCATTATAAGTTTTCTATTATTTTAATACTTCTGTATTTGATGCACACCTAAAGATTGGAAATGGGGAAGCAGTAGATTAGCCACCCAATATGACAAATTACAGAAAAGATACCTGGAAACAAATGTACTTCACATAAAAGCAAAGCATACATATACAGTACATTGTGTGTGTGTGTGTGTGTGTGTGTGTGTGTGTGTGTGTGTGTGTTATGTCATGTACATATTTTTTTTCAACTTACCCTCACCTAATTCAATATAAAATTATCTCATTTGAGATAGATCCTATTTTAGGTATTAACTTTAAAAACTGACTTCCTTTAACAATGAGAATATTTTAAGGGAACATGCAAAATAAAATGTGTTAAATTATAAAGTTCAGCAACTCCCAATACAACCTATATGAACACATATTTGATAAAAGTAAGCTAAATAGCAAAGCAATGACTTGTCCACAGTTTTAGAGCAGTGATTCTTAGGCGCGTGAACCAGCAGAATCCCTCGGAGGCCTCCGAGAAACAAGGGTTGGCATTTTAGGATTCAGTAGCTGGCTCTGGGACCTTCAAATTTGCCTCTCTGACAAAAATCTCAGGTGATAACGTGACAGATGTTGGACAATCAAAGAACAACTTCTAGCAAATATTCCATATTATCTCTTTTCCCTCTCAAAATTGCCACACTTTATCCACAATTGTCACTTTTTTCTATGTATGTTTAAATTGTAAATGCTACACTCCTGGAGAAACAGATCGCCTATCCCCCAGAGGAAACCGTTCATTTCCACAGACCATTTTCCTGTCCCATTCCAGATTTCTGTTGCTCTGATTTCTCTTTCCACAGTGAATGTAGGTGAAAGGTTCAACAGAGACAAAGGTCTTTCCAGAGCCTCCCTTTGCCTGTGAGACTTCTAAACCCTCGTGGCCACATTCTGTTACTATGATCCCATTAGGATAAAGGTATGTGGAAATTTTCATGTTTCCTTGGGGACTCTCTGAGGTTATTAAACTCTCCCAAGTAAATATGATGTGCCATGCACTGTCAGGTCAATTAATCAAAGTCATCTCTGGTTTCTGAAGAAAAAGCCTGGTTGGATTTATCAGTACCAGCAAGAATTAATTCTGAGGGTCAAGACCACCATGTTTTACCTAACGATCAATATCCCCAGAAAATAAACTCTGTGTGGTCAAGGCCTTCTCCCTGACTTGCTTATACTGGGGACTTGGCACACAGTAGGTGCTTAATAATTGCAAGATGAATGAATAAAAGCACACGGCAAATTTTCAATTTTTTTCTAGCACTGATTTTTCTGCTAATCTACTTCTCTGAGATGGAGACTCTGCTCTCTCTTAACCTCCCAATATCTATTTAGAGGTGTGTGAGTGGGTCTGTGGGTTCTTAAAAATTATTTTCAAAGTCTTCTAAGCATTTGTATACTTGTAGGTATCTTGGGAATAATTATCATTTTTTCTCAAAAAAAAATTGTGGTGTGTGTGTCTGTGTCTGTGTATTTGTGTGTGTGTGTGTGTGTGTGTGTGTGTGTGTGTGTGTGTGTGTTGAGGAATCACCTCAAGTAAGCAAATAAAACGGCTCAGAATTTTTGTAATTCAATAGGACAACCTTTTCTACCACAAATAAAATTCTTTAATGAGCCAACAAATCACTGCTTTTGCTTCTAAACTGAACACTCATAAACAGTGGAAAGTTCTAGATAGCAGCGTTTCAGGCAACTGAGAGGAAATCATTTCCTTGATTTCTCTACTGGAAAATTATTTGAACCAACTGATCATTTTTGGCAATACAAAGCCACAATTTTACAAGCTAATTGTAACTTCTCCCCATCTGTAAACCCCAAAAGGATGTGGGCTTTAAAATATGTATAGTCAGCAATCCAAGGTTAATTGACCAGCTAGGAAAATCTAGCTTTTTCTAAAATGAAAATACTACTATTTCTCCTATCACTGAATAGAGGTGAAACTTAATATTTGTACAGAACCTAATTCTCAATAATTGAGTAATTTGGATCACTCATCTTTCACCAAGAGCAAATCTCAATTTTAAGTTCCAGTTTTTCAGCACATAGAGACCACCATTTCCTTGTAGTTCATGTATTATCCATATTCTGTATTATTCAAGCCAGTAGAACAAACTGGATACAATATGTCCTATATACAATATGGAAAGGAAAACAAGCCTTTTATTGCAGCTTGATAGAAAGAAATTACAGGATTTTTTTTTATTTGTTTGTTTGTTTTCCTGAATAGAATGCCTGATGCTGTGACTTGGGACTAGACAGGTAGATGTCTCAGCAAAAAACTCGCTAGGCTGTAGAAATTCGATTCTATATGATCTCACTGGTATCTTCATATGCAAAATTTGCTCCATGAAGATGAAGAGATTGTTTTCAAAGTTCAAATTTCAGAATAGCTCTCATTAAAAAATACACATCAGTATTCATTGCATGGCCTGAAATGGAAATGCTATGGATTTGAACTGTAACACAACTCACAGATTTTTTTTTTATCCCAACC